AGTAACAGTCTACTTGAAGCAGAATATCAAAATGATAGTCTATATGTGAAACAGACTATTAAAATAACAGATATGTGAAACAGACTATTAAAATAGCAATTAATTATGAAACAGATTATCAAAGTAACAAACCACATGTACTAGACTATCAAAAGGATCCATATGAAACAGACTACTAACATAACAATCCACATGAACAAGATTACTAAACCAATGATCCACATGAACCAGACTACCAAAATAACAAATCACATGAACTAGACTATCAAAATAATGTACATGAAATGGACTACCAAAATAAAAATCCACATAAACTAGATAACCAAAGTAATGATCCACATGAAACTAACTACCAAAATAACAATCCACATGAGCTAGACAACCACAGTATTGATCTGCATAAAACTGATTATCAAAGTAACAGTCTACATGAACCGAAATATCAAAATAGACCACCACGACAATGATCCACATGCAACAGATTACTAAAATAATAATCCATATGAACTAGACTAGCAAAACTTCAAATCTCTACATTCTCAAATCCCTAAAATCCTAGATTCCCAAATCTTCAAATCCCTAAACTCCTACATTCCCAAATCTCCAAATTCCCAAATTCCTAGATTTCCAAATCTCCAAATCTCCAAATTCTTGGATTCCCAAATCTCCAAATTCCCAAATCTTGAAATCCCCAAATTCCTAGAGTCCCAAATTTCCAAATCCCTAAATTCCTAAATCCCTAAATTCCTAGAGTCCCAAATTTCCAAACCCCCAAATTCCTAAATTCCCAAATTCCTAGAGTCCCAAATCTTGAAATCCCCAAATCCCCAGATTCCCAAATCTCAAAATTCCCAAATTTTCATATCCCCAAATCTCCAAGTGATCCACACGCAATAGACTACCAAACAATCCACATCAATCCAACTCTCAAAACAACCCTTCTCATGAACCCAATAATGAAACTAATACAAAATCGTCCAACCAAATTCACATCAATCAAAATCCCAAAAAATCACCTCACACAACTCCATCACTACCCATCAGCGAATAAACTATCACTAAAAAATTATCTATTACTGAACTATCCACGAACAGGACAATAAAAATAAAATGTTGAAATATTCGATATCCAAGGGTTAATTTAGGCAATCGATCGTCACTTTCGGTGGTGCGGCATCCCGATGTCCGTCGAATTGATACAAGCTCTTGTTGCACGTGTAATTTTTTCGTTAACGGCGGCTTTCGATGACGCGGCCAAAAAAAAGGAAGAAAGAAACGAAAAAACGAGGCAACCAGCGCCCATACGAAATTGTTTTGTCGATTTCGAGCCTTCCGGCGAGAGCGTCGCGTCGATAGAGGTGCGGCGAAACGTGCAGCCGATACCTTGTTGTATACCGGTGACATCGCGAACGACAGTCGGTGGCTAGAGCGTTTTCGCGAGACAACGACCGAGTGTATCCAGGGACCACGACACGATCAAGAGGAGCACGATTCGCTCTCGAAATTGGAATTATCGGATATACGTTTAGACGGGCCGATACAGGAGACAGGCTCGCGTTTCACCTCGTCCCGGACGACTAATTAGCGCCCGTGCACGACAACGTGCCACTAACACCGGCTACGTGATCCTCGCGATACTAACGATTTTTCAATTACACGTTTACAGTCGTACAGCCGCTATGTACGTTTTATTTCGATCTGGTGAACTCGTATCACGTCTCATATCTTGGGGAGAGTTATCCAATTTTTGAGGGCATAAAGTACTTTTTAATTTTATTTTAAGATTTATGATTTTTTAATTTTGGAAGGTTTGGGGTTGTTCTATTTGCGACGTACAAATCTGGGATTTTTTGAATTTTCGAATTTTTTTAGATATTCAATTGGGTTTCTGGATTTTCTAATATAAATTTCTAAAATTTTTCTTTTTTAAATCACCGAGTTCTTACGTTTCTAGGACTACAAATTCTTAGATTTCCACATCTCTCGCATTGGATCCACAAACTCCTAGATTTCCAAACACCTAGATTTCAAAATCCTTAAATTTTTGGACTCTCAAATTTCTAAAAACCTTGATTTCCAATTTTCCAAATTCCCAGATTCTCAAATTCCCAAACCCCTAGATTCCCAGATCTCCACATCTTAAAAATTCCTAGATTCACCAATTTTCAAATTCCCAAATTTCTAGATTCCCAAATCTCAAAATTCCCAGATTCTCAAATTCCTAAATTCCTAGAGTCCTAAATCTCCAAATCCCTAGATTCTTAAATCCCCAAATTTTCAAATTCCCAAATTCCTAAATCTCCAAATCTACAAATCTCCAGATTTTGAAGTCTCCAAATCTCCAATTCCCCAAATTCCTAAATTTCCAAATCTCCAAATCCCTAGATTCTAAAATCCCCAAATCTTCAAATTCCGAAATTCCTAGATCCCCAAATCTACAAATCCCCAAATCTCCAAATTTTCAAATTCTTAGATTCCCCAATATCCAAATCCCCAGATTCACAAATCCCCAAATTCTTAGATTCCCAAATCTCCAAATTCCCAAATCCCTAGATTCCCAAATCTTCAAATCCCCAAATCCCTAGATTTCCATGTCTGTAAATCCCCAAATCACAAAATCCCCAAATCTACAAATCCCCAAAATTCCTATACTCCCAAATCCCCAAATCCCTAAATTCCCAAATTCCGCATCTCTACCTCACAAAAAAATATTTCTAATCTCCAACTCTAAAATTTCGTCAACAAATAAATTGAGCCCAAAATAATTCAAAACATGTACTTTAAATAACATGTCAATAAAATTACTTAAGATAACTGAAATAAACGAAGCGCATTAATACCGTCTCGATAAAATACTGCCGTCATTTTCGTTTCATGGATTTCATAATCTCTGGCAGAGTGCAAAACAAATACATGAAATCCGTACGGATCCGTACGGATATTATCTACTATGACGACCGAAGCAGACGAAGTGCATTGGTCAAGGGTAGGTGTTCTGTTTGATAAGTAGTCGATCGTATTATCGGATTTAGACGATGAAGTGTGCGTTGGATATAATACAAGAATCTTGCATTCCAATCTATTTGATCTGAAGTTTAATTTTATCGAACATTGATTGGTCTTTTGAACTGTGATGCATAGTGTAATGATTTTATCTTTTGATGATTAGTTTAGTTGGTTCGAGTAGTTGGGGAGAGTAGATGAGGATTCTGATTTTGTTGTTGGGAGAGGTGATATGTAATGTTGTAGATAATCTTTAGATATTTTCTTAGAGATATAGTGATAGAGGGATAGAAAGACATAGGGATATAGGGATATAGGGATAGAGGGACCTAGCAATATTAAGATGAGGGAGAAGTTTAGAAGCACATGTATGAACAAATTTGGGGTTTTCAGGAATATGGATGTAGAGGTCCTAAACATATACTGTAGAGAAATAGGAATTCAACACTGTAAGAATCTAGAAGTCCAGGAATTTAAAGACATAGGTACCCACGAATATAGAGCTCCAGAAATATAAGAATCTAGAAGTACAAGAATATAAAAATATAAGAAGATATAAAGAATCCAGAGATTACAAATCTAGAAGTGCATAGATATCTTGACATACCTAGAAACATTACCTAGTAACGTATCTAACAATACAGAAATCGCAGAATATAGAAACCTGGTAACGTAGATCCAAAGATACACAGCTCTAAATATTCGTAAATGTAAATTTCCAACTTAACTGTATTACCCCATTAAACAAGAAAAACACAAAAACAGCGCTATTAAAGTTCCGCAAAAGAAGCATAATGAAGTTATTTAAAAAATGAAAATTATACACGGAGATATACATTCCGCACGCAATTATTTCCCGATTTCTAACGCGAACAAAAAAGTGCTAATGCATTCGAGCAATTAGCGAACGCCTAAGAAGCATTAAGGTTGTCAGGAGAGTATTATCGCGAGCGTCATCTTAATTTGCCTAACTAGCGTATTATTAATTGCCTCGATCGTATACGCACAGAAATTTATTTGTTCCATTAATCGTGATGTATCGAACCACTCTTCTATCTCCGATGATCACGAACGTTTGTTGAACGAATTAAAACGGCAGGACCAAGCTTCAGTCACAATTTTATTCTTGTTACCGAGTTTAAAATGTATGTGAATTTTGATCGAAACTCCTGCGGTTTGATACCCGATTACATTGAACTCGATTGGAGCGAAGGATAATAGCGAAACCAGTAATTGGATGAAATGATTGATCGAAGCTGCTTTGTTAATAAGTCTCCGAGGGTAACTTGAGCCGTTTTGGGATTTGGGATCCAATGTCCTGGATCTAATACAGGGGTAGCAACAGAACACGCTCATGCGTGAACCGTCGGACAGATCGTGCGACGCTATCGTGTCTATCCTTCAATTAATTCTCTAAATCTATTAGTTATTCAAATACACGTCACAATTCTTTATTCACAATTTTTTTAATTAAAAAAAAATTTTAATAAGTTAATAAATCAATTTGCACACCACTTATCCAAATACTGTAACCACAGGATGCTCTTTGAACTAAAAAATTTCATTATCGTAACTTAAGTATAAAGTAAATTTGTCAGAAGGGGTTCAAGTCCACCATTAATTAATTTAAGGGAAAAGGTTGGGTCTTAGATGTATATACATCTCATTAAATATTGCATTTAATTAAATTGGACTACTTCAATGAATCCATAATAAGATACCTATTAATTAATTACTGTTATTCAAATCGATAAGAGATAACAAGAGAACTAAAATATTAAATCTACTGTATCTACTGAACGAGAATCACATGGTTGACAAACTTCCTAGCATATCATATATAACCTCGCAAAGTTAGGTATCAAATTGAAGCTTCAAGCAACTTTGCAAACCCCACAAGTGCTAAATCTTCTCACGATTCATCATGACAAACATTCACATTTGATCCAATTAGACTAAACCGACAAATCAGAATAAACCTGAGAATGAAACGTTACCAGTGTTCTCTTGGGTGTCTCTCGCGTTATCCTCCATCTCTTGATGGCCCCTTTTGTTATTCGCCAGTCCAAGGATCGCGTCGATACTGTGTCTCGGTGTGCTGCTCGCGGGTTTGGGCAGGACGATGTCCTGACTGTTCTGAGAGGCCGTGTCAACCAACTGCTGCGAATCCATCGTAGAAAACCTTCCCGCTAATGGAATGATTGTTGAGAATCCTTGTTAAATGCTATTAGTGTTCGATCGAGGCACGAAACTGTCCGTGACACGTGTCTTCGATTACAAAACGCATTTTGAGATCACCCCTGCCACGTGATGCTTGACAATGTCTTCGAGAGCACTTGACTGTTTGAACAATCGACACCTGGACAATTATCACAAAGTCTATGTCGAACGAACAATTCGCACGCGAAGAGACACACGATGACAACGGTACCAATGGCTCCAGCCACCATCCATGACTGAGCGTCACACGACACTACCAGCTGATTTTCCTCCGCACTGATCAAAAACTGATCCGTCACAGGAGTCGGTGTGAACTTTCGCGAACTTGGTTGTCCACCGATTCACGATCGATCTAAAATCCCTTGACGCGTAGATCCACCGAGCAGTGTCCGTCCATCAGGGTCGACGGGTACTCCTGAAGAGGCAAGCCAGTCGGGCCAGAGGGAAATAAAATTGTCGACCGGCTAAGGTCGAAGTTGTTGAGCGTGCGTCGTGCCAACGAGGACTAGTCGGTTGGCCAAGCAGCAACGGGGTGGCCTTTGTTGTAGTAGCACACAACTACTCCGCCTCGAAGAAGCGAAACGCGGAAAGAGGTGGTCCAGCGTTTGCCGAACGAGGCGTGGCCTGATTCCACGAATCCGCGTGGCCGTTCGTCAGATCTGGAGCCAATCGGGGCCGGGATCGAAGAACATGGCGAGACAGTGGTGCTCAAATCGTTCGCAGAACGATCAACCCTCCCTCGCGGCGCCTGGGTGGGGTTAATTCGTAGGGGTTGAGGAGGTGGTGGCTTTCGTCGGGCTTCTGTGACACTGTACCCACACGAGGCCAATTTCGTGTTCGTGTACAAGGCACGGGAGGGTTGTGTGAACGCTTCGAGGGATGGATACAACGACGGGGTGGTTGGCGGGCGCGCACACGCTGCCTTCGCGTAAACGGTGCCCGCACACACGCCCGATCGGCGCGGCTTGATTCTTGCGGCGGATTCTGGCATTCCCTGTAATTGCCAGAAATGAGCTAAAGCTTACCGCTTACGCCGAGCCTTCTACGCTTCTGGCGGCGAGCTACGCGCATTCGGCCCGACTTGCCGCCCGCGATACCACCCCCGCGCGCATTATGCGTGCACCCGACGAGATCGCGACGCCTGTTGGCGACTTTTCGAAGACAATTGCTTCTCAGCCGTTTAACTGCTTGTAGACTCTGGGGTAAGGATAAGGATCACGCCTCCACGCGCTAATTGCTTCCTTTCGATCTCTCGGTATCTAAATTTTCTTCTCTCCAGCGTTATTGCAGTTGCTGCTTCTTTATTTGCTATAAATCTTCGCATGATTTTCGAAAGGTACTTCTACCTTTATGGACGATTGTGAGAAGTATAACTTCCAGATTTACAAGGTCACGTAAAAATGCAGCAAAAATTTTAATTATAAAAGACATGTGGAAAATGTCATATGGACATGTATCATGAATATAAATGTAAACTTTTGAAAATATTCATGTAACAATACAGATATTGGCATAAGTTATTGATCATTTCATATTGCTCTTCAAGCAAGTTAATCTTCATGTGGATGTAGATTTACTGAAAATTACATATATGAGTTTTTTTACATGTATACACATAACATATGTATACGTATATGTACATGTTTAGTTTTTATTATGTATACATATTATATATAAGCATAATCTGCAGTCTTGAATGTTTCAAGTTTGACAAACAATTCAGTTGTATACATAAAAACCATATGTGCATCTCATGTTATCTCCACATACTCACACACGAATTTTGATTACAAGTAACAGATTTAAAGTGCTATTATAAATGCTATTATAAGTACTATATTAAATGAATAAGAAAACTTCATTCACATAAATGTCCTCACTTGTGTCACCATGTTACCAAGTCACCATGTATGATAGAGTACATATGTGATTATTAACTCAAATTTGAATATTAAGTTGTTGATAAAATATTAGAGACATATATGTTGACAGACATTTTAAGGGATTTAATTATTCGATTAAATTGAAACCAAAGAATGTATCTTTCTATAATAAACGTAGAAGGGTGCGTGAACCACGGGTTGATTGATACAATGTTATTTTCCGAACGATCTCGATATTTCGCGTTTTGAGTGGGCGATCGAAACCGCAGCCGAACCACAGACACTGCGACAGATTTTTATCTCGATTTCCTTTCACAAACTTTCGGAATTAGCTTCGTGACAAAGAGACAAGGAAAGCCGTACGGTTTTCGGTTGTCTGGGACGTGGCGCGTCCGGCATGGAAGTTGTTTCTTTTTCGTTCGCGCAACCGAAGACCAACGTGCACAAAACAAATCCCCGTTTCCCATTCCACATTCGATTCCGCGTATCGTTGTTACCATTTGGCGTTTTAGCCCAGGGGGAAGTGTACGCCCACAAAACCGCGACACAAAAGATATCCGCCTGTAGCGAAACAGTAGCTGTTCAAAATCGATCCGGCTAAATCCAGCCAAATTATACGTTTCGAACCGATTCACGTTCCTTTTGTCACAGAAAAAGCCTCCCGTCTGGACCCACGCCGATTATAATTGTCCTACGAAATAACGGCTGAACTGTGTTTCGCGGATGCTTGTTTGCTCGAAATAATTCGACTTTGAATAAATTTGCGGAGGAGTATGATTCGTTTTGAAATGGATCAATTTTTGGTGGTGACAGATGTCTATTAGATTTCGTTTTATGTTGTTAGTCGGGATATTAACACTGGAGTTGGATTTCCACTTCCTAAATTCCCACTACCTAAATTCCTACTTTCTAAATTCCCAAATTCCTAAATTCCCAAATCTCTGAATTTCCCAATCCCTAAATTCCCAAATTCCTAGATTCCCCAATCTCTAAATTCCCCAACCCCTACATTACAAAATTCCTAGATTTCCCAACACCCAAATTCCAAAATCCTTAGATTCCCGAATCCCTAAATTCCCGAAACCCCAAATTCCCAAATCTCTAAATTCCCAAATCCCTAAATTCCCCAATCCTTAAATTCTCCAACCCCTAAGTTTCAAAATCCCTAGATTCTCCAACCCTAAAATTCCAAAATCCCTAGATTCTCCAACCCCCAAATTCCAAAATCCCTAGATTCCCAATTTCCCAAATCTCTAAATGCCCAAATCCCTAAATTCTTAAATTCCCCAACCCCCAAATTCCAAAATCCCTAGATTCCCAAATCCCTTAATTCCCAAATCTCTAAACTCCCAAATCCCTAAATTCCCAAATCCTTAAATTCCCAAATCCCTAAATTTCCCAATCTCTAAATTCCCTAACCATTAAATTCTAAAATCCTTAGACTCCACAACCTCCAAATTCCAAAATTCCCAAATTCCCAAATCCTCAAACGTAAAACTCTCAAAATTCCCCTATACCTCTATTATAATATCTCTCTCATCTCTCAGAAGCTTTCACAAAACATTCCCACGTGCTCCACGCTGTCGCACGTCGAGTATACACGCGTTAACAAGTAACGCGCGTTTTCCATGGGGTTAATCTCGCTCTCGAATCTGGCTCGTGGTGTTCGTCCACGGGGCAGAGAGTAGGGAAAAGGCTTTTAGGTCCTGGTAGAAATCAGATCAGAAGTTGCATTTAACCGGATCCCACTTACCGCGATAAATATCTGCCAGAGGATCGAGGGACCGAACTCTCGAGTTGGATCGAAGCGATTATTTCGTGCTTGGCCCGGTTAAGAAGCAGCGGCAGCACTTAGCTCCAGTTTTAGCTAATTTCCTGAACGTTGATCCTCGACTTGAAACTCAGGGGTTCCTTCGTAGACAGCTCTCTTTCTTTATTTTCGTCTCGAGTTATCCCGAAAAACTCTCAGGTAGACGTGACGGTTAAACGTTTTAACCTGTTTGACGTTTTGGAGGCAGCTGATACTGTCCTGACCGAAAGATAAACGGATTTATCTTCAACGAGTACAAGTTTTGTCTTTCGTTCGTCAAATTTGAGGTATTCTTTTCTGCATAATTTAGGTATTTATTTTGGACGTTGAGTTTTGTTGCGTTCTTTATTTTTCGTTCGATTTTGATTTTAAACTTCGTAACTTGTTGTTATCTTCTATTGTGATGTTGTAGTTTCTTATTTGGACATGTGTATTTTAATATGAAATTCACGTATGAAATACATTATTTTTATGTGGAATACACGTATGAAGTACATAACTTTAATATGAAACACATGTATGTAATACACATATGAAATACCCGTATGAAGTACACGTATGAAATACACGTATGAAGTACATCATGTTAACATGGAAAAAAAGTATGAAGTACATGATAAATAGCATATAATATTCTCCTTATGTGACAAAGAAATCATGCAACACATGGTGCACTTGACTGTATAACATATAACACATGGGGACATATGTGATACAATGATCTGCTCCTACAATTTCACTTTCATTACTCGTTCATTTAAAGATCGAAAGAGAATTCCATAAACCACTCGAGCCGAGATAAGAATCGTTATTCTCCTCATCCATCGATGCAGAAGATCTCATACGCTCATAAGACCCTGTAGTCCATTCTCCAATAAAGGGACAAAATCGAATCTGCTGGAAATTACCTAAAATCTGTACGGCTGTACGGGGCTTATTGTGGTGGCCGTCTTGTAGATCGGTGATCGGAAACGATCGGTTCACAATGGCGCGTGTCGAGGCCGTCGAAAGGAGCAACGTGGAAAGCAAAGAAAATTGTTTGCAAATCGTGCACAATGAAGAAACTAGGCCGTCTATTCACGCGAATCCACGCAGCTGCGTTTCAAACGAACCTCGATCACCGAGATAAGTCTAATTTTCTTGTGTGCAGCCATTGAGACCGACCGAATCCGCTCCAATTTTCCCTGGACGAGCCGCTCGTGTGCAACGATCGAGAGGTGCGAAACGGGAAGATGAAAGAAATCGCGTCGATGTTTTCGCGGATGAAAAGCTTGTTTGGGCTACGGTAGCCACGGGTGGCGGTTGCCATTGTTGTTAGAAGGATTTCGCGACAGGTTTTGGGAAAACTCGCAGCGGGGTGCCCACTCGATCTTCAGATTTCAGGAGCTTTATCCGTCGTACGACACTCTGTGTACTTCGAGTAATCTTAAGATACTTGAAGAGTGTTGGGTACAAATAGGGTGATCGATACGGCTTTTGGAGGATTGTATGGGGTTATTGGGGATCAATGAGGAGATGC